CTCCGCCCCAGGCAGGGGCCGGAGCGGGAGCCGTGCGGCAGCGACGGGCCCGGCCTCGTGCCAGCCCCTGGGGCAGGCGCCCGGAGCCAGGGCTAATGCGCAGGTTAGTTCAGCGCTGGGAAACCCGTTCCATGTGTCAGCAGGTCGGCTTGCCACAGGGGGATGATCCTCTGCAGCAACACGTTTGGTTGTTTTTAAGGGAAATCCTAATTTCAGCACAGTCTCCGTAACATGAAACAAACCAGAATGAGGTATAGTTAAAGGGAAAGGCAGGCAGGAGCCCGGGCGCCTACAGGTCCCCTTTTTGTTGCCCTTCCCTGAGGCATCCGCAGAATAGAGGCCTCTCCAAGAGGATGAAGTGCAGCAAAAACAGCAAATTGGCCAGACAAGGAGGTGCACTAAAGCCACCCCGGACAAATTGCACATTCTGCATTTGTTAATAACGTAGCATGGAGGCACCTAAAGATAAAGCAGGGGGGAATAAGGCAAATGCTATGAAATATAAATAGCAGAGCAGAAATGCAACCTTGCTATATAGGAGAACTGGTGAAGTGAGCAAGAGCTGCAAAGGTGAAAGACCTTGATGTGCTGACTGCCTAATTGGGGGCTGACTGCCTAATTAGGGTCTGATTACCTAATTGGGGGGTGATATAAGAAATGTTTGTGATAAAGGAACTCATGCTGTTTGTAAAGGTTTCAGTAGGGCTGACTTTATGAGACTACAGCTTCTGTTGATTTGTAAGTTTTCTTAAAATATTTTCTGTAAGTTAAATTTTTATTATGATAAGCTGTAGTATAAAAGTATCAGTAGGAAAAGGCACTGTATAGCCCTGCTTTTGGTGTGTAAAGGATGGTATAACATGGAAGTGGTTAAAAGCTGGCTGATTTTTTTATTTATACATATTTGCTTATAACTTAGAGGGCTCCTAGTCAGCTATCTGGTTGTGACCCCCGCTTAGGCTTCCTGTGTTAGTGGTTTTGTGTGTTCTGGGAAGCTGTAGGCTCTGCTCTATGAGCTGTTTTGTTGCTGTTGCAAAAACAAAAAAAAAGTCTCGCTTTGGTTTTATGGAATTGTAGAATTTTCTGTTTTCTAAATTCCACTATGTTTCAGAGGAGTAATTATGTGAGACTTAAGGAAGAAGGATTTTTTTTGTCTCTCTTTTTTTTTTTTTTTTTTTTTTTTAAGTACTCATGTATTTGAATATTGTATTTTATTTAGTTTGGGCTTCAAAGCTATGATCTCTAGAAATGCTAACAATTCTGTAATTGTTGGCCAGCCCTGCTTAAAAGGGGGTCACAGACTGTATGTTAAAGCTTAACTTAATTCTAGCATTACTTTGATATAGTGGCTTCTTCACAGAAAAGTAATTTTTTTCCTACTTCGTCTGTTTGGGAGTAAATGTATGTAATCCTAGCCCTCATTTCTAGCAGAAATATACTTTTTTTTTTTTTAAGTTAACATTATTGTACTATGCAGATATGCTTAGAAACTCTTATAATCTTGTTTCAGTTTTGTTGAAGTATTTATTGCTCAATAACTTACAAAACTTGCTTTTAGCATGTTTTGGTGTATTTTAAATAACAATTTCTGCAGGTGTACTCGTTATATGCCTGCTGTGATCTTCACCTGTGGGTCTACACAAGCGAATCCTTCCTCAGCTCTCCCTAGGAGCTGCCTCTTGGTCCTTGTGCTGCTGTAAAGCTGCAAGGAGTAACAGCACTTGCCAAGGCCTGGAATCCCCCAAGGAAATACGATGACGGAGTTCCTGGTGTGTTTTAGCTGGTGCAACGGCGAGCCGCCCCAGCCGGTGGGTAGATGCACAGTTGTCTGTTACCAGATTTCTAATTTCTTTCTGTTGCGCAGAAAATTCTTTGCCCTGTTGCTTTGTGCTAAGGAAAGCAAAAGCTAAAAGTGGACCTGTTACACCATGTTTAAAGTGTGTTTGTGTGCACGTGTGTGTGTTTTACCGTAAGTTACTGTACTGTGACTGCCTGCAGCTCACAGGCATGCTGTGTGAGCACTGACTTTTCCAGCCTTTAAGGCTTTACTAAAAAGCAATAATAAAGGTGAGTTAGATGCTTACTGTGAGCAGTCTGAAAGCTCCCTCCTGCCTCTGCGAGTCACTGAGGGCTGGTAGTGATGAGTTTCTTTAACAGAGCTGCTTGCTTCTGCTGAAAGCAGCCTGCTCTTATTTGGATGGAAATGTAGATATCCTCTTTCTTGCAGAAGAGGCGTCGGAGACTGGACCGGGATATGATAGGAGAGCCCATGAACTTTGTGCACACGGCGCATGTTGGGGCAAGAGAGATGAGCAGTGGCTTTCCATCTGTAAGTGTGCACGGCTTGGGCAAATCTCTGCTCAGTAACTTGTACCATAAGTAGCTGCTAAAATACTAAACATTTAGAGGGGAAAACACCTGCTCCCCCTGCCCTGTGCTAGGACAGTGTCAGAAGAGAATAACTTGTGTTGTGAGCTGTGTGTCTGCAATGCTGTGGGTTTGGCAGAGCCACTGATGTGCCCAGCATTTTTATGTGTGGTAAGGTGGTAAGAGACTTCTAGATACAATATCTGTATCTACTATGAAGTGCCTCCACTAAATCTGTATCATCCATTTCATGCACCAATTTAGAATGGACTTAAAAAAGTGTTTATTTCATTTCTTCCTACTACTGCTGGGACCCAGTGCTGTGAGCACATGGTTCATCTGCTTCCTCAGACTGATGTCTTTATTGCTTTTCTTTTCTTTTTTTTTTTTTTTTTTTCTCTAGGCTGTATCAATTCAGGACCACATGAAGTCCAAAGGTGGCTACACAAATGGTACTTCTGCAACTATTCAGATATAGAAAACTGAGAAGGCTAAAATTTTTTCTGCCTTATGAAGACCCCTGTGGACTGTGCTTTCATATTATCTAAAACATCTTATGATGAACTATAGAGAGTCCTTGAATTATGAATAGGTCAGTGCAAGCTTTGATTTTTCTTTGCTCAAGAAGTTCTCAATAAGTTGCTATAATTTTTTTTTAATGGTTTGTTGTGGTAGTATTTTCAGTAACACCTGTATTGCCTCACTGGAGGTCTTCCTGGCTTCCCAGCTGTGTCCCCACAAGCCCCCTTGTCTTGTAGGGCAGGATTGGAAGTTGGTACAAATTGCCTGGACTTTAATATCTCCCCTCAAGAAAGAGACTGATTTAACTGGAAGATATCATTGTTTGCACTTCCTCCACAGGCTAAATTGAATATCTAAGTAGGATCTTGTAGCCTTAACTTTAGAGCTATTCTTTTGAATGCCTTATAGCTCAGTATACCAATGCATTAGATTGTATTTTGGTATCTCCTCATGATGCTTTATAAGAATGAACTCTAACATAGTGCAGTTAGTTGTGTTTCAGGAGCCCGGTGAAGATTCTGTCTTACTGTAAAGTCTCTCTAACCAAAAGTTCAGCTTTTGCACATGTACCCTTTCTATAATGAGGCTTAAGATGCAATATTTTTTTCAATGAGTCCTTGAATTATGAATAGGTCAGTGCAAGCTTTGATTTTCTTCACTCAAGAAGTTCTGAATAAGTTGCTATAATTTTTTTTTTTTAATGGTTTGTTGTGGTAGCATTTTCAGTAACACCTGTATTGCCTCACTGGAGGTCTTCCTGGCTTCCCAGCTGTCTCCTCACAAGCCCCCTTGTCTTGTAGCTGGATTGGAAGTTGGTACAAATTGGCCTGGACTTTAACATCTCCCCTCAAGAAAGAGACTGATTTAACTGGAAGATATCATTGTTTGCACTTCCTCCACAGGCTAAATTGAATGTCTAAGTAGGATCTTGTAGCCTTAACTTTAGAGCTATTTTTTTGAATGCCTTGCAGCTCAGTATACCAATGCATTAGTTTGTATTTTGGTATTTCCTCATGATGTTTTATAGGAATGGACTCTAACATAGTGCAGTTAGCTGTGTTCAGGAGCCCAGTGAAGATTCTGTCTTACTGTAAAGTCTCTCTAACTAAAAGTCCAGCTTTTGCACATGTACCCTTTCTATAATGAGGCTTAAGATGCAATATTTCTTCAATTACTGGGCTGCTTCCCTTCCATCACTCTGGTGTAGTTATGTACTGTTAGATTTGTTGCTGTAATACCTATTTGCTAATCTGAAATGGAGCTACAATATTCAGAACTGCATGCTAATTTTGCATGGATGTTTCTAAGTTTTAAACTTAAGATCACTCTACCTGTGTTTAACAGTAGCCACATAAAACTTCCAGGGAAGTCCATTTGTTTTTCTAACTTTAACTTCAAGACTGCTTTCTTTAGTTTAAGTAAAATCTTATGTATGTTTTTAAAGTGTATGGTTTAATAAAATAGATGGCTTAATGGATACAGTCATGTGCAGGACAGAAGCTGAAAGAACATTGTGAAAACTTGCAGGAGGCCATTAAACAAAAACAAAGTCCTGCAGAGTTCCAGCATTTCATGTATGTGAATACTTAGCCACACACAGGCTACAGTTTATCACTCTGCTCTTACTGGACTTGCTATTAAAAGGCTATAATGACTACCCAAGATTACCCAATCACTGACAATTATTCCCTAGCTCGAAACTATGAACAACCACCATCCAGAAATAGAGGAAATGTGCTTGCTGTCATGGGACTAGCTTAAATAAGCGTTTGAATTCCTGCCAAAACAGCATGGTCATGCTGCAAGTCAGTGGCACTCTCCCCTTTTGCTGTAGGCATAAGATCAGCCATAAATTTTTGTTCCTGTGAGAATCTGTCTTCCGAAAAAATGTATCTAGCAGGTCTCTTAACAAATATGATACTGTTCATGGCTTGTGATACTTATAACTCTTACTAAGTTGTTTCCTCTGCATATACAGAAGGATTTTAAAGTATGAGAGCCTGCACAGTGTTTCTTTGTTCCAAAAAAGCATTTCCCCTGCCCTTCCCACATTTCCTCTTTAAAGGCGGAAGAGGAAGAGAGGGAATATTATTTCTGTAATAACAGGCCATTGCATTTGGCAACCACATAAAACAGAAATCTAATATCCATGTCTTGCTGGATCCTTACCCTTTAAAAATCATGCCATATTTTAAATACACTTTTAAATTAGTGCAAGTTGGGTGCATGCCTAGCTTTTTTTTTTTTTTTTTTAAAAAAGTCTTTCATAATTCTGCTGCTTTGCTAACCTCAGGCTTATACTAGGAAGCTAGCTAAGATACAGTATTCAAACTAGATAATTCTTGTAAACAGACAGCATGTATTGAGCAAGCTGTTTAAAAAAATAAATGTTAATTCATCTGCCATTAAGTTCATGTGGTCATTGGTTTGTACCTGCCCAGAAAGTAGAGCACCATTAACTGCCGTGACAGCGGCGATGAAATGGGTTGCACTTCCTTTGTACTGTGGGAAAACAAACTGATCGGGGTTCCTATTTCCTGAAGATCTGCTCAGTCAATTTAAAATTAATTTCTAATTATGCACATAACACTAAGTTGGTGATTTGGTCAGTTCTTTTTAGGACTATTTCCACAGAGAATTGTTATTAAACTGTCTTTTTTCTTTTTTTAGAAAAAACTTGTCTTCAGTCCATACACCAAGCAGAAATATCTGATATAATTATCAGTATTCTCTGGGACCATATTAAAGTAAGCTGAATATTGATTACTAAAGGAAATACTTAATTGCATTAAGGGAGTCATTCTTAATCTAAACAAACATAAAAGCATATCTTGAGACTTCAGTAATTCTCTTTGATTGTGTAAGTGCAGCCCTCCTCTACCTGTCATCTGTCATGTAACTGGCTGGTGTGAACCTATCTAGCTGATAATAAATCTGTTGAAATATACTTTCACTTTTCTCATACTGTAAAAATCTGGATACTTTGCACTGAAACCTCATTCGTGGATCAGTGTAGCTTGAAACTCTCTTGCACAAATTCAGTTATCCACTAGAGAGCACAATTTTCCTTCAAGTCTCTTCTGGTTTTTGTCTGTACAATCTACTCAAGTGTGTGTGTGTGTGGGGGCATTTTTTAGTATTAAAAACTGGACTAAAGTACAGGAAAGGAGACCAAGGATGTGACCCTTCTACCTGCTGTGCAGTGTTGTCTTAGTACGATGTGGCAATGAAATTTTCCTGCTTTGACCTCATGGAATTGTAAAATGAAATTACTTGCTGGCAGAGCAGGACCTAAGCCTTTCATGTGAAGTCTGGCAGCGACTCAGCACAGAGTCTTTTTGAAAAGAGGGTGCTGTGGACAATGTGTAATTAAACAGCTGCATTTTATTCCTTGCTAGCCTTCATGCTAGGCTTAACCACTCTCTCAGTGCTGTACAGAGTTACAGCATTAGCTGGGCTAACTTTAAGAGGAAGGAGGGGAGGAAAAAAAAAGCTAATTTATCTTCTGCAGAATGGTATCTCCCTTAATGCTTGTGGGGGCTTTGTAACTACTGAAGGGAGTTACAATGGCAGTGCTAAACCTTGTGGAGGTGTCCTTATGAAACTCCTTGGATTACTAAGTAGTATGGAAAAATCAACTCTCAACTGAAAGTGAACCCAGGGCAGCTCTTGATTGTGTTTAGCTGCACTTTGGTATCAGCACAGCGACACTGCTGTAATCTTAACAGTTGAGGATAAGAATATTCTTGTCTGTGTTTCATAATCTCTGTGGGGAGATGAGATGAATCTGGAGAAAAAAGCTGTTACAAGTGTGACAAAAAGACATTCCCTGCAGAGTAGGCTCCTGTAAGATTTGCAGATGCTCTGTAGTCCTGCAGATGTGGCTGTTCAGGCATCTTATGCAGGCATTTCAAGCACTGTGCTATGAAACGATTCTGATAATGGTAGGGGTAATGAGAAGTAAGAGATAAGTGTGACCTTCCAGCCTCCTCAGCCATTCACCCTGAAGAGAGCAAACTCTTCAATGCATTTGGCTTAAATAGAAGGGTCTGGAGACTGGTTCTCATTTGCAATAGTTACCAGATTGTATTTCCAGCTCATAACTTGTCAGAGGGTTTTCCATCCTGGATTCTGCAAGGTGGATGAGTTGTGCACCACAGGGTTAACACTGAAGGTGCAGAGTCCTGAAATAGGAAGTTTGTTGCTTCATTTGAGTAGTGATTGGCTTCAAGGCAGAAAACAGAATAACTATAAATGGAGTGGAATGTGTTTAGAAAAGCAGGCCTGCTGGGGATAAATCCTTTTATATATACATTTATAAAGGTGTTGACGCACACTTCAGCTCCTTTAGCTCACAATAGTACTCTTACCATATATCTTTCAGTGTTAACAGACTGGATCAACATAAGGTCTGGACGCAAAGGAGCGGTTACTGCCTGAAACTTGAAACGGCAGCTGATCTCCCCTCCCCTGAGGTGCCAGGGTAGCTAAAGGGATGCTCTGTGGAGTTGGTCATTGATCTTCTGCAGACAAACTGCCCTTTCTTCATACACAGAAATTGGTCTAGTATGCAGAGCACAAGTCGGTCATATCAGTGATTTTTTCCTATTGGTAGCAGTGTTTAAAATACGTATGAAGTCCCCTAGTACTGCAATGACTAGTGCCTTCCTTGGATGTGGCATGTCTTTCCTCGACAGAGCCTGTTCTAGGTGTGGAGTTATTTGGACTTATTGCCACATGCAGCTTTGAGCCCCTTCTGTGCTTTCCTACACCACAGCAGAAAATCTCCTTGCTGTGACACAATCCTTTTTGCTCTAGGAAAGGTGATGCAAGAGGCCTACAGGTCTCTTGGGAGCTGCAGGAAAATGGGGTGGGTGATTGAAGCAGATTTGGGCACTGGGCAGAGGCACCATGATGCGTGTTCAGCCCTGCGAGGAGCTTGCAGGGGACAGAACATGTGCAAGTCAATAGGTTTGATTC